TCGTATTCATTCATTCGTATTCATTCATTCGTATTCATTCATTCGTATTCATTCATTCGTATTCATTCATTCGTATTCATTCATTCGTATTCATTCATTCTTTATTCATTCATTCATTCATTCATTCATTTATTCGTTCATATATATTCATTCGTTGGTTGGTTGGTTCGTTCGGTCATTCATTCAGTCATTCATGCATTTATTTGGTTTCGTTTCGTTCCGTTCCGTTTCATTTATAATGCCATTTCATTCCATCGCCTCTTTATTGCATACATGGCATTCATTTCGTTCATGTCATTTTTTTGGCTCATTTTATCCATTTCATCAATTTCATTCATGTCCTTTCAATTCACTTCAATTCATTTCAGTTTGTTTTCCTCCATTCCCCTCCGTTCATTCATACCGTTCGTTCGTTTGTTCACTCATTCATTCAATCAATCAATCAATCAATCAACCAATGAATCAATCAATCAATCAATCAACCAACCAATCAATCAATCAATCAATCAATCAATCAATCCTTCAATCCTTCAATCCTTCAATCCTTTGTTCAATCGTTCGTTCGCTCATGCATTCAATCATTCATTCATCCGTCACATTCATCACACTCATCACATTCATTCATCACTCTGATAATATTTCTCGCGTGTTATCTTCTAGTCTCTTCCCTCCCGTTTTTTCGGGCCACGCTGTCGTCTAGTTTTGATATGATGATATGCCTTGAAGACCCCCGAGGCTGTGAAGTCTGGGTGCAGCATGCCTTATGTTCTCATGTTGCCTGTTTGGCCAGCCAAGGGTGGCAGAACAGCTAGATGAGCAGCGAGTGCAAATGGACCAACGTCACCAAGACGAACTCAGAGCCCTTGAAGATTCTGGACCTGACGGGCCCCAGCAAAAGGCACGCTAGGGTCCCCGCACCGCCCTCGCTTGCGCTATTTGCTTGGGAATTTTTGAACGTGTTGAAGTGTTGTAGGTTCCAAACTTGCTTGCCGACATCATGGAACCTGCGTTCTGCGAAAAAGTGGCGATGGTATGCAGTGGTTATCTTGCTCACTCATTCACCGCCCCAAAAAATACTGTACTCCCAAAAATTCCAGAGGCAGTGCCAAAGCTTAGTTTGCAGGATTCCGACTTGATCCAGCTGCAGCTGCTGCATGACAACGAATCGCTGCAAATGACAAGGCTTTTGAAGGAGCAGGAAGCGAAACTGATGCACAAGAAAAAGTTGCACGAAAAGTTTGAAGCCGGAGCAGATACAAGCAATGAGATTGAGGGCGCCGAGGACTGCATGCTGCTCTAGGACTGCAAGCCAATAATATGGGCAAGTTGATAGAACATCAAATCCAGTTGGTTCTTTGGAAACGTTGTGAAATTTGTGAACCTGGCTTCCGCTCAATTACTTTCAATATCTTTCAATATTGGACCTAGTGAAGATCCCCGTCTGGGGGTCCTGATTAGGGAATATTAGGGATTCAAAATTTATACCGGGGGCGGTTGTCAGGTATGATTTTACTATATTTTTGCCGCTGCGATGCGAGGCCAGCGCCTAGGGTTCCATCCACCTGTCAATGAATTTCTAAGTTGCAGGTTTGGCCAATGAAACCCATCCAGCGGGCATACCTTGTGCCACTTTCTCGTCAGTAGGTCTGGCTGGATTCATCTCGTGGTCGTTTTTGTGATCGTTTTGGATCAAGATGTTCCGGCGTATTTTCGATGTAATGAGCTATGAAGCATATAACGGGCAATGAATTCTACGGGGTGGACGCTTTGAGTCCATGAAGACTTTATGGCTCAGAACTGTTCAGCTTCACCTCCCCGTGGGTCCTGGCTAGATTGGTTGGAGCAGGGTGGCCGTGATAAACATTGAAGGGCCCAAGGTTGAAATGCAAATTCTTTTCAGATATATAGGTTGGCACCCCTACAGGAAATACGCCAAATGGATTTCTTGGGCTTCGGGTTGCAAGATCAAAGGTTTCAGCGTCTTGTTGTCGCTTTGTCGTTCGTGATTTGTTTCCCTGTCTACATGGGATAAACTTCAGAGGCCTGAGGTTTCAGTTCAAATTTTTCTCACGGGATTCTTAGCCCCAAAGCGCAGGCCCTCAACATCCTAAATGTTCCAACTTTTTTTCCGGGCCAGGAGCTGTGTAGGAAAATTACGGGGTAAAGGTTTTGAGCCTATATGGCTCGTAATTGTAAGTCTCCTCATGGGTCTGGTGGGCATTTATCGACGACTTGTTTTTCTATGTATTTACATCTCGTTCTTTACAAATGTCGGCCCGGTGCAACTTCCGCCAAGTAAAGAACAATCCACCTTCGTATTGTCCACCTCCACCTCTAGGACAAGCTGCAACCTTCTGCCCAGGAGCCCCTCCACCGTTGGCATAATCAACCTACGGATCCTTCCTATCTTCCACCTTGCATGCGCACACATGATGCTGGCGACACCCAGTTTTTTGATCCATGTTATCCGCTGCTCTTGGGGTTCCTTCCCCAGGCAGTCCCAACTCCTGTCTCTATGCAGGAGGGTGTCTGTGTGTGTGTGTGCGCGCGTACCGTCTGAACAGATGTAAAACTTTCACAGGGGTCTACATTGCCTACGATCGTTTTTCTTGTTTCCTCGAGAACTGTGGCACTCGGATGTCTCATTTCTTCACTGTACCTGTGCACTGTGATTCTCCTTGATTATAGACAGCTGTTTGCTTCAGACATCGCGATACGCCACAAGTTTCGGGTTTAAGTTGTGGCAAGGGGGCCGTGGACGCATAGATAGCACGGGCCAACGAAGACCCATCTATGCCGTCGTGAAAACGTACCCGCACTTTCCATTTTCCATGTCTTCGTCAATTGCTACCTGCTAAGCCTAGAACCGGCATGTCGATCTGTTTGCAATCAGCGCATGTTGTTTTCACGACATGAAACAGTTTGCATGGTTTTCGTGATCTGATTCTTTGCGCTAATGATCCCTCTCTCTGCATATACGTATATATTTCCTCAGGGGTCTACTTGGGCACGATGGTTCGGTTGTGTTTTGCATGCAGGGATTCAACTCCCAACGGATCAATTCCGTGATCATGTTCTATTCTGGTGTTTGTGTTTTTGTGTTTTTGTGTGTGTGTGTTTTTTGAGACCCCTTTGACTTATGTGCTTCAAGTCAGTAGGCAAGCCTATCATGCCGTGCATGGCCTGTTTGGCACGGATTTCGAATTCCGCCGTGCTTCACAGGTCTTTGCAGACCGCTTTGATACCCCTTAGGGTTTTCTTGGAAAGGAAAAATTGACATGTAGCAGGTAGTTGTTAGCCATGTGTCAACCTTCCAAAAAGTGAAAACTTGTATTTCAGTTGGAAAAAGTAATGTCAAGTTCTGACATGCGCATCTCTCAGCCGCAGCTTGCAAAAGACACCAAAGCGCTAAAGCAGCTGCCACCACAGCGCATCAGCTGCACCAATCAGCTGCCACCACAGCAGCCACCACAGCAGCCACCACAGCGCAGCAGCTGCACCAAAAATCGGCTGCCACCACATCTGCCACCGCAGCGCATGCTCCCAGTAGAGGTTGCGGCGCCAAGTCACTGATGCATCTAAGGGGCAGGCTCCGTCTTGGCTGTCTCCTCCATCAAAACTGCGTCGCAGGAGAGGTGCTCGATCGACCGCTCTGCAGTAGTAGGAGCAGCATCATCAAGCCTGTCTTTCTCCCCTTCCTTCCTGCGGCGGGTCCTTGGATGCTCTGTGTAGCCGGGACCGCCGCTCTCCCTTCCTCCATTGAAGGGTGCTCCTGGAGAGTTGCGCAAGAATTTTGTCACTTGGCCATGGAGGCCCTGCATGCTTTATTTTATCTAGACATGACGGGCGGACACACATAGATGCAAAAAAAAGGCGCTTGACCTCTATGAATTCCTGCCACTGGTCTTTGAAAAGGTTTGCCACATTTAGATACCCAATTATAGGACCGGATAACCCCACATGTTACCAACTTCTCTAGACTTACACTGAGCAAAGACAGGCAAGAAGGGAAGAGCAAGTATAAGAGTGATGGAGGAATGATGGTGGGTGATTTTTTGTGTATGTGTGTATGTATGTGCATGCACAGGTAAGTGAATGAGAATGTGAGTGAGTGATGTGAGTGAGCGAGGGAGTGAGTAGAGTGAGTGAGTGAGTGAGTGAGTGAGTGAGTGAGTGAGTGAGTGAGTGAGAGTGAGTGAGTGAGTGAGTGAGAGTGAGTGAGTGAGTGTGCAGGACAATATCGGGACTGACAAAAGTTTTAGTTAGGCTCGCCATGACATTACACACTTGGTCACGTATTGTGATGAGGTGCATATCGTCGAGTCATCATCTTAGATCTGTACAATATTTAGATTAATAGCCCTAGGCCTTAGCTACAGACTTTGATAATACGTATATAATGATGGCCCGCTCCTATAATACTTTGAGGGGATAGGATGGTTCCCCCACCCTGGCGGGGGGCCAGGTCGGTTCTTTGCCTGACTCAACACCTTTGTGAGCAGCTTAGCTATTTGATTTTTAACTTTGATTCTTGTATTGCAACCAGAGCTGTCTGAGCAATACTTCTATAGCCTGTACTATATTGAATGCATGTCCACCGAATACATGGTACGAACTTCACTTTTTGGTCGGATTGCTGAGGTGGCCACGACAACGATGACTTCGCTGTTTGCGTGAACATGGGCCGGCCATGGATGAGTAGAGGAGTGGGTCGCCCGAACCTTTTGCCGAGCACTTGGGAGGTTCTCATACAACTCTACGGCTAGCATCAAATGATTGCGGCATGCCACATCCAGCCACCACATGCGAGGTGTCACCGCCATGTTGTCAAGCAGACCGTTACTCATGCCTTTGACCAAGCTAGTTCAATGTACCTGACATTGTGTTTAAATTTATTTGCGCAAAATTGTGGCTCGAGCAGGTGCAAGTGTCATTCATCCGCTATGGCCAAACGATTTTTGAAACTTGAGTGACGGTATGAAATCAAAGGAAGCATGTCGTGTGACATTTATGTAAGCCCACAAGGCTTGAGCAGCTCACACCACAACTCCCTATCAGACCATAGCAAGTCCTGTGTTGCACAGCTGGGATGCTGGGATGATGATTACTTCATTGGTAGCTTTCATGAGCCTTAAAGCATCTTTAAAAGCCATGGCAGTCAGTTGAGATCGTCTCAAGAATTGTAGATTCACATTGGAAACAGCCAAATCGTTGCATGTGGTTCATACTTGAATATATTTTATCTAGTTTTATCTGGTATCTGTCAAAGGCAACTGTGAGTCTTGTGCACAGCAGTGGTGTGGAGTAAGTTGTGTGTAGAAGCTCCACCACACTCACAGCCGGTCCTTCACCCGACTAAGCGCCTGCAACGGCACGAGCGGATGCACTGCTGGGAGTCTCTCGCAAGGCACCTGCGGCAAGTTCTGCACCCGTACGTGCAAGCCCAGAGGCCCTTTCAGCCACAGGTGGTAGTGGAGGCGTGAAGTGGAATACTGCGCCTGCCACACACAAAGTGAAGGTCGATGTCACCACGTATCACGCCTGCCACGCAAAGTGAAGGTGGACAATTTGTGTGTAAGCGATTTCGTGAGGACAAGTTGTGTGTGGACAAGTTGTGTGTGGACAAGTTGTGTGATGACAAGTTGTGTGAGGACAAGTTGTGTGAGGACAAGTTGTGTGTGGACAAGTTGTGTGTGGACAAGTTGTGTGTGAGCAAGGTGTGTGTGGACAAGTTCTGTGTGGACAAGTCGTGTGTGAGTAAGTGTGGAACAAGTCGTGTGTGGACAAGTTGTGTGTGAGTAAGTGTGGACAAGTTGTGTGTGGACAAGTTGTGTGGGAGTAAGTGTTGACAAGTTGTGTGTGGACAAGTTGTGTGTGAGTAAGTGTGGAACAAGTTGTGTGTGGACAAGTTGTGTGTGAGCAAGGTGTGTGTGGACAAGTTCTGTGTGGACAAGTTGTGTGTGAGCAAGTGTGGAACAAGTTGTGTGTGGACAAGTTACCAACTGTGGACAACTAACTTCTCTAGACTTAGTTAGACCGAGCACAGAAAAGCAAGAAGGGAAGAAGAAGTATAAGAGTGATGGAGGGGTGATGGTGGGTGAGTTTGTGTGTGTATGTATGTGCATGCACAGGTGAGTGAATTGTAGTGAGTGAGTGCGTGCGTGCGTGAGTGAGTGAGTGAGCGAGTGAGTGAGCGAGGGAGTGAGTGAGTGAGTGAGTGAGCGAGTGAGTGAGCGAGGGAGTGAGTGAGTGAGTGAGTGAGTCAGTCAGTCAGTGAGTCAGTC